AGTAGCATCCTTGCTCCTAGTAGCGATGCCAGGAGCCCCTAGTTGCCAGGAGCCCCTAGTAGCGTCCTTGCTCCTAGAAGCAAGAATTTACAAGCCACGACCTCCCTGGTGTTTCGAAGGCTTCGCCGACCTCCCAGCCTCCTGATCGTCGCGATCGGCCGATCGGCGGTGTCTTCGGTGTCGTCGTGGCTCGGTCTTTCCGAGGCAGGAAGCGTATCAGCGCGCCTCCGGCAGCTTTGGTGGCTACACAGAGTTGCTTGCATTGGGTAGACACCGTTGCCGTTAATACGTTGTCCTGATGGTCCCAAACGGAGAACGTAGGGGTTCACATAAAAGAGCTGAAAGGCCAAATAACATGGATTCCCTCGATTCTATCTTGGTCATTGGATCGCTGCGCAGATTTCAAACGCTAAAGATCTAAACTCAAGTTCAGAGCCTGAAACAATTAGGCCGCGTACAACTTAGGATCCTTTTGTACGTTACTGCGTCAACTTCTGTCCTCCAAAGAGCATTGAGCCTTAAGGTCTGTGTTGATCAAACATGACTCCCGTGTTGTTTATGGGCTTGGCTTGGCTTGCGTATTGCATAGATGGTCGATTGGCTTTATGGCCTCAGCTCAGGCACAGCAAGACCCTGGTGGCGGGGCAAACAGGACTGGAGATGTACCAGGTGCCGTTTGAAGACGTGTAAACATGCAGGGAACGAACATAGCTCTAACCCTTGAAACACGAATCACTTCCAGAGTTATATAATATTTTGTTGCCGCAGTGTTGCCAGCAGTGCGATGAATTCCTAAGTTCCTAAGTTGCCTGCTTCGCGCAAGTTGTTCCATCGATTTTTCCTGTGAAGAAGATTCAGATGAGGAGGATATCGTGGAATCCGACTTCTGCCCACTGTTGATGAATGAAGTCCCGTCGCAACTCAAACCCAAACCCCCTTGACAGGTGCATGAACGAGACTTTCCTTTCTTGGACAGGTGCCGGTGTCTTTCTTCCATACGATTCGCTAATTAGCCGCTAACTTCACACCTGGGCTCCCGACACCGAAACGGCTTCGCATGGCATCCAGGCGGTTGCTGCCTGCTTGGCGCTTCTCGGCACAAGGAAGAGTGGCAGACCTGTAGTTGAACAGTGGGGTTTTGGTTTCGATCCGTTTCGTAGTGCTTGACGGTTTCGGGTTCGGTTTTTCAATCACTTTTTTGTTCATGCATGTTGGATGATGAACATGCTTGTTCCACAGACACGACACCTCCTAGATGTCCAGACCCAATGTTTGCGTTTGATCAAGGTTGCCGAGAGAGAGAGAGAGAGTCCCTCATATGTATATATATATATATATATGAGAGGGACATGTCTATATAAATTCAAAACGAGTTCTGTTAATAAAGACCGTCATGTGAATAACCAATGGTGGTAAACATTTTCTTGTTCCACAAGAGTTTCTTGCAGTTATTGAGATGTTTTATATGAAGGTTATTTCAATTTAGAAGGGGGCAAACTTTTGCAGCTTTCATAGGGATGTAGGAACCTTTACCAGGAGTAAAGACATGGTGGCTTTTTGCAGACTCTTCCATTTGTGGACGAAGCTGAACATGGGCCCCCATGAAGGGCAAAACGTGGACTTTGACCTAACGAAGTAGGACCCCCCAAAAAGATCTGAAAGACATCCCTCGAATCTGAAAGTCCGACGAAAAGGTTGCTCTCCCGGGACCAAGGCGGGACCTGGCCGCCTGCCAGGCGCGCTTGCTGGCGCCACCTGGACCGCTGCTGCGCTTGGGAGGTGACCTGAAGCAGTTCGGTGGTCCATGTAGGTGTTCGGTGTGTAGGGGACAGAAAATGAAGCAAGGGGAGCCCCAGATGTGCAGGTGTGCATGCTGAAAGTATGGATTCTGCATTCTTTCATGGTTTAGCTTCTCCGACGTCAACATTCAAAGCTGGGAATCTCTTCCTAGTGTGTCTTGTTTTGTAAATGGATAAGTAGACATGTGTACTTAATCCTTCAGACAGATAGATCATAGATCAGGCGACACACTATGAACATATGCGCACATTGTAGGGTTACTCAAACAGCACACGCTCTGAGGTTCCCTGATCTTCCAAGTGGAAGCTGGTAGCCATGGCAGGCCAGAGTCCGAGCAGTGAGCCAATGGGGTATTCAAGGGGGCACCTTCTCCCAAATGTTCAGTGGGTCAGATGGACGTGCAAGTCCAAGAACAGTCCGTGGCCATTTGAACAGGAAGATGCATCGCCCTTGGTGAATGAACGAGCAAGGTTTGCCAATCATTGCCTGAAATTCCAGTTTGGCCAAACTTCAGTTTTCTTGAAATATTGTTTGATGTTGTTAGTATTAGATACTATGAACAGGGGTGGAGTCACAGGAATTAATTTAAAAAAAATATCGATTCCTTTGACAAGCACGGTCGGCGCCCTGCGCTTTTCATCCACATGGGGAATTTGTGTAAAGCTGCGGCTTGGTGGTCAGCAAATATCAATTTCGTCATGTTTTTCATTTTCAGAGCCTTCCTTGCTTCGATTCAACATGTTGAGAAACGATTCATTTGCATTGGTTCAAAGCTTTGATAGTCCTACTTTTCATGACCTTGATGCTGGCGTGCGGTGCTATCAGGTTTTGAGGGGCTAAAAGTTTGCAGGCTCCAAAACCTACCTCCATTGGAATCAGCCAATAAGGTTTAGCAAGAGCTGCCCCTCCTCCAAAACCTGCAGCTGGAAGAAAGAACTTATATAAGCGGCTAAAGAGAACTTCAGATTGCAATTTTCTTGACCTGGAACAAGCAGGCATGTTTAATCCAATGCCGACTCAGTATCAAACGAGGGCGTCAAAAGATCCCTCCTACCAAAAGCATGTTGCTTCCCTTGTTTGGCGCCAAGTGTGAGAGTAGGTTGGGCGGGATGGCCACGAAAGTGGCCGCAGCAGTGCAGAATGCCTCAGAGGCGATTCTCGAAAAACGGGAATGTTCGGCGGGAAGGCGGTCCGGACACTCACCTGGTGGCTTCTTTGGGCTTGAAAGAATGCTCCTAGTAGCGACGCCAGGAGCCCCTAGTAGCGTCCTTTGCTCCTAGTAGCGATGCCCTTTGCTCCTAGTAGCGTCCTTTACCAAAAGAATCAATAAGCCATTCTCCGAAAGCCAGATGTTCTTTTCCAGAACCCCACCATCCAAGCCAGCGTCGACGAAGTCCATGTTCACGTCGACGAAACGTCGATCTCCGATCACCGAGAACACCGAGAGGGACGAGACGTCGACGAAGTGAGCAGAATCTTCTTCGGGTGAACAGGGACTGACAGAAGGTGCTTTTTGACGACCCTCACGCTACCTTGCAGTAGACAGTGAAGGGGGGAAGTTTCGAAACCTGTGAGCAGTTTCCTAATCATTGGTTTTTGACGTGTTGAATGATCTACTGTATCTGAATCTATCTACTACAGATGATTCAAGCTGTAAACAAGGGTCAACACCTTCAGTTGCTTTACTCATTTGAGCCACTCACACTGTGACCCAGGGCAAATTGGCCTTCCAGCGGGTCATTGAGGATGAGAAGAAAATGGAAGGGGTCTCAGCATCCGGGGTTTTTCATTGCCAGGGAAGAGAAGGAGGGCTCGGGTTAAGATCAAACGTTCGCACAAATAGTGTATATATATATATATATATTTTATTTATACATATCAGCCAATTGAAAAGTTGCAGGCCACCGTTCCAGTGTAGACATCCCCGCTTGCTCTTCAACGATTGCCAATAACTTGATTGGTATCAGTGGGGTCGCAGCTGTCAAGACGGGGCTCACGGATTACTGAGCAAAATGTCAAAACGGGATACCTTCGTGTTCTCCAGCCCTCGAAAAAGAGAATAGATGAGTTTGCAACAGTTTACACATTGAGACAGGCGGTTCTTAATTTTTGCTTTGAAGCACATCCATTTCATGGCCATCTCAAATAGGCTCTTTCAATGACCAAGCGCCTCAACCGGTGGGATGCAGAAGGCGGTGTGACAAATTGGCCAACCGAGCTCAGGAGCGGGGCATCCTCTTGAAATGGGCCTTTGCGGATTGAACGGGCTAACGGGCAGAACCAGCACTCACTCGGCGCTCTTGAGACCCTACAGGTCCCAGAGGATCTGACACGGAGGAGGTGACAGGGCCAGCCAAACACCGGAGGAGCACGGCACAGCTTGATGTGGTGCATCCTCTCAGTGCGGATTGGAAAAGGACATGCCGCTGTTTGCACGGAGCTCCAGTCCAGGATGCTCTCGGCCTCTCTCCATGTTCACATATCATTTTGATTTTGCACCTGAAATTCATTAGGCCCTTGAGACTTTTGCTTCCTTGAGACTTTTGCTTGCGAAGAAACTGCGGGGATTCAGTTTAAGAAGCTTTAACTGCATTCACTTTCTGTTCTCTTCCCAAAGGACTTTCAGAGAGCAGAAATCAACTCAGACCGACGTGGATAGACGCTCAAGAGTCTCAACAAATAACATTGTTCTGCAGAAACCTTTGCACTGACACAACATGCAATGCTGCAATGCTTTTCTCTCTTGTCTTCCGGCTTCTTTCCTTACAGTTTTAGTCTTAGTGCTTTCTCCTGTCGCGACCTGAATGATTCTTGTTGCTGCTGATCTGGACCCAGGACTCATCTATCACTCCCAGGCCCATTTTTGACGCTTGCAGATGCTCAAGGTCTTTCACAGCTTTGAGACCCATGGTGCATGGAGGCCAAATCCAACCAGACTTGGTATAAGTTACTTTGTTGATTGGCATTTTGAATCATTTTTGGCCCACGCACACACACACACAGATACATATACATATATATATATATACACATACACATACACATACATATACATATACATATACATATACATATACATATATGTATTTGTGTGTGTGTGTGCGTGGGCCAAAAATGATTCACCGAACCCATATATATATATATATATGCACATTTTGTTCTTTTTTTAAAGGCACGACACACTCAGCCCACTTGGCATCCTGCTCCTTTGTATGGCTCACACTGCCAGACTACCTCGGTTCCTTGCGACTCTTTCGGGACTGAAGCCAACTAGTGCCGGGGTTCGTTTGGTGAATTCTTTTCCTCACCTTCTCATCACCTTCCTCACCTTTCCTTCACAAAAGCGGCCCGTTGATTCGGCAGCCACGCTTGAGTGGGCCGTGGCACGGAGCCAACGGCGCCGGCCAGCCCGCGCAGACAGTGACAGTGACAGTTCGTCACTCATGAGTGCTGTTGCTCACTTCCGCGAAGCGTGTTTTAAGGTCTTTTGATTCTTCCCTGATACAAGATGGGGTTCGTCAAGCTGATATCCAAGTTCGGTTTTCATGGCCTTTTGCGACTCAGACTGCCCGACAGGTTTCACAATTTCCTTTGAACAAGCAGCAAGCACTTCATAGAGCAGTACCCAGCAAGCAGAGTTGCACTTCCGTGTTGTTTCAGCTTGGCAGCTTGGCATGTGTTGCCTACTAATGCAGTTTAAGAAGCTGCCGGTGCTGGAAGAAGTCTACCGTAGGTGGGATGCATGGAAGAAGCCAACTGAACAGTTTCTGGCTCAAGTCGCAGCCCGCGGAGAGCAGCGAGGTTTTCACCGGAGGTTTTCACCAAGGCGGGCTTGGATGGCAAAATGGGTTTGGGTTAACACCCCAAAGCGGTAAGCTGTAAGCACTGTGAGCACTGGCCTTTTTTCTTAGTTTCTCAGGTGGGATGGATGGCTGAAACTGCTCGAGGGTGTGAAATACCTGAGCACTGGTCCTTCCTCCAAAGCCTATCTCTATCGGTCCATACAGCTGCGAGATGCTGGAGATTCTTAGGTTTCTTCTTTCGGAGTGCAAGTGCCATGAGCCAAAGCTTCTTCATGGCAGGAAGAGATGGTCTATGATGAAGATGCTGTCTCCGAGCTCATCAGCCGAATCCAGGCCCTCTGCGCGAACGGCGGGTTGCAACAAGGAAGCACTCCAGGATTTGGGGTTCACAGTGGTTGTGGAGAACCTGTTTGTATCCTTGCGCTGTGGGATCATTTCTCACGGCATTGAACTGGGATTTGAAGTTCTGCACGTTGGAAACAGAGCGATCTGCCAGTCACTGCGTTAGCTGCGTTGGCTCTCTTGACCAGTCACTCCGTACAGGCTGGTGTTTTGTTAGCTCGAATGGTGGGAGTGCGTTCATCATGGCAAGATAGTTCTGTTCTGACGTGGCCGTGCCATCTTTTGCCAGGTCTTTTGCTATCCGCGGAGGATTCGTGTGAAGGAGTTCTTCAACGACTTCGACCCACTCAGGTCGACCAGAGTACTGGTCTGGCGTAAACCAGATTACTGGTCTGTCGAATAGGAAAGGTTATAGCAGGGATCTATCCGGGTTAAAGATCCAGATCATCCTTTTCCTACTTGTGTATTAAAGTGGAGGATGCAAGAGGGTTTGAAGAGAGTTTGTGGATTCACTCCACCAATTGGAACGGATAAGCTGACCAACAGATTGCAGGTGGATGGAAACACCCTGCAGCAAAGCCACAAGAAGAGATTCTGTATATTTTCGAGTGGTGCAAAAGACTCCATCCACGGTGTGGGCGCCCCATCTCTCCGCAGCTACAGGCATGGCCGCTGCACCTTCATCAACTTTGCACGTGCGTTGGACACGCAACTCGGTTGGAGCGGGCTCTCGCGGGCAAAGGTGGCATCTTGCCGTCTGGATCCTTAACTTTAAATAAAGGCCGAAACCATGCAGCTCTTTTGGATGAAACCAGCTTGGAAGCAAGTCCTGCAGATGGCGAATGCAAAGTATACAAGCCCGAATTGTGGTATGGTTTGTGCAACTGTCCTCACAACGGACATATTGATATTGCATCCAAATGGCATCTCCTCCATTTTGGGCAGTTCTTGCAGCTTGATCCGTCAGGAAATGGTTCATTGCTGTTTTTCCTCCTGCTTTCTCCTCCTTAGCGCCTTAAGGCAGCCAAATTAAGCCACTGCGACCGTGTGGTACGATGAGGATCATTGATCGTCCTTGGGTGTCTGTGATGTATGTGGCGGTGTTTTCGACCCTTTATCATATCTCACTTGGCCAAGCTGATTCTCGTGTCCTCGTGTTTCCTCATGCTTCGCTTTTTGCCCCAGGTTGGGTATGCAAGGACTGTCAGATGAGGAGGTGCTCGGCTGGCGCAATAAGACATGCATGATGTTAGCGGTTTAAAGGGCTTGGGTCAGCGAAGGCGGTGAACTTGGGAACATGGCTAACTCCACTGAGCGTCTGCAGCCTCTGTCTCTCTACTTTCACTCCAATCCATGGAGATCCTCGGTGGCTGAGGCCCAATGGATTCACGGGATCTCAGTGGCCGATGTTGGCTGTAAGTCGATTGGATTGTGGGGGAAGCTTACATAAGCTTATTATTATATAATATACAATCATCATCTATATCACCCTGAGTGAATGAACAGGGTGAGTGAATGGTCAGGGATAGGATGCCAAATGATGAGCTCAAGACCAGGGGCAGCTTCAAAGCGATTCTGAGATGGAAAGTCTGGTGGTCTCCGTCCGCTTGTTGCAGCATGAGCTGTCCTAGCCAGGTGGACACGCTGGCAGAACACTTCACTGAGCATGGGGCCCATGTGGCACCACCACAGGCATTGCCGGGGGGGGGGGGCGAGAGAAGCACCTGACAGATGAGCTGGGCATTGGAGGAGACTCGAGTGAACGAATGTAGAACTTGCACATGGTTTGAACTTGCTGATGTACTTTTGGACCGAGGAAGGAACTTACGATGGAGACATTTTTTTGGCTCGATTGGATCGTTCTTAGTGCCTCAAAACGTGGCTGTGACCGTGAAACTTCACTCTCGTCTCAGGTGGTGAACTACATCAAATTCTGCGAAGCCATCGATAAGGTTGGTGTGTGACGGGACGTCTCCCGCTCGATCAGCTGGGTGAGGGCGGTGAGGGTGGGCATCAGGTGGCGGATGGTGGGTGGTGCCGGTGGCAACGCAGCCGGCAGTTGGTGGTGAGGTGGGCGAGCGGAATTGGTCCACAAAGTACTTGAGTCCCGTTGAGTGTACCAGACCTCTTTGATTCAAAAGCTGTGAGATAGATTTGGCTGTCATTGCTTGTGAGATTTGGTCAACCTCCGAAAATGAACACCTTGGATGCCCCCAAAGATGTCAACCAATCCCAGTATGGATTGATGGACTGAGGTGCTTAGTATTTTCACCCCACAAATTGGGGCACCAATCTTAGAGGAAGCGGGATCTGATCGTTTGAGGTTGCATGGCACCGTTTTCCATTGTTAGGGTGTAGATGTCCCTATGATGATCCACCAGTGTGGCAGGATGCTGTACATCCAGGACCTACATGCAAATGAAGAACCCCTGTCTGAGAAAGATCGGTCTTTAGCCCCCTGATGCCCCGTGCCTGTGGCTATGGCCACACAAGCTTCAAATTCCAGGGATATCTCAAACCTCACTTAAACACGTGGAATGTCCACCCACTCTGGCTTTTTGCAGGCTTCCTAACCAAGGCCGCTGAAGACCTCTCCTCATGTGTCTCAAACGCCGCGCCTGTTTCTTTGTTACGAGAAGCCAAGATGGAGATGAAGACAAAGGCACATGCGGCCGAAAGAAGAGCAGTTCTTAGGATCATAGACGAGTCGAGTAGCACAGTAACGTCGCCTAGGAATCCAAGAGCAGTTCTTCATTCTTGTCATCAAACCAAACTAGCTTTTGTCATGGCAGACCAAGCTGAGCTTCTTCTCGAGTTCATGAATGCCATGCAGTAAACCTTCTCAATTCTGGGCTCAGTGTATCACCCTTTCTATCTGCCCTTGGGCCGTGCCATGCGGATCAAGACCAATGCCTCCGAAGGGCAAAGCAAAGGCAGAGCACTCCACGGAAGTGGGTACGGTCGAGGTAACACTGCTCTCAACCTGCAGACAGCTGCAAGCTCACACTCACACTGTGAGAGAACCTTCCATTGTCACTAGAGACGTCTTTGCCAGGCGAAAGGAAAGGCAGCAGCAGCCCCGAGTACCGAGGTGTTTGGCTCAGGCTGAGGAATCAGGTGAAACGGGCAGTGACTGATGACCGTTGGAGGCAGCATCATATTGGATCCCCAACGCTATCCAACATCCAGCTAGACTGGGACCTCCATTCTGCTCATCTATACGGCTGGCCTCCGAAGAATGGGTTTCAGCTCTGAACTAAACATCTTTCTGCATGCTGTGGCTCAGTGTCAAGCCACAGCGATTCCGCTGAATCCACCAGCAAGAAGTTTCGTAGATGGACGATATGATTCCTTTTTCACCAATCGCGTTGATGTATTTTTGGGTAAGATGATGTACCGTATGATGTAAGATGCCACTTCAACTTTTGTGGCAAAGTTCTAAGCCTTTTGGACTCACCATCCCTGGTGCTGTCGCTCCCAGGTGCTGCTCCTGGACGTTCCGCCCCCTCCGCCTGCAGCGGTGCGCACGGACGGGAGTGAGCTGGAGAAGAAGAGCCTGCTGGGAAGTGGCTGGCGGTTTGAGGTTTAAGCTCCAAAACGCCCGATAACTCCTGAACTGAAGAGACCAGGCCAGTCCGTTTGGGTGGTCCAATGGAAGCCCAGTCCAGTAGGGGGGGGCAGTCCGTCCTGGTAGTCCATTTCCATGCCGCCTCTTTGTTCAGTTCACTTGTTGCACTTGTTGTTTCAGACGTGCCCAGCCACCTTTGCCATCCCCAACTCCCGATTGAGAGGTTGAGATGAGAGAGAGGACGGGAGGACGGTCTGGGTTTGCTTTGTCCTTTTGGAGAAACGGCTCAGCCAGGTATGCCTGCCCTTGCCAGACTCCATGTTGGGGCGCTTAAGCACGCTCATAGTACTGTACTTGTAGCGTGTCGAATTTTCAACCTTTGAAGGTTCGGTGGGGGAGATCTGTGGCATTCCTGGACCTCCAAACTCCAAAGTGCGTACGCCAAAGAGTCGTACTTGGGTTTCCTGTCTCGTTGAAGCTTTAAAAAAGCACTGTTGGCAAGGCTCGCACGACCTTAGAGTGCTTTGAAAGTCTGGTTCCACATGGAGTGTCGGACTTCTACAAGTCACACCTTGAGTTTTTGACTCGGACCTTCAACTCCAGTCTTCAATGAAGTGACTAAGTCCTGCTTCTTAGGCTGAGTCGCTGTGCCACAGAGCGCTGCTTGCTGCTCAGTTGGGGAGATAGCAAGGGGGCCTACAAGGTGGCTCCGCACGAAAGGACGCGCGTGGGGTGTGCGTGCGGCAGTCTTGTGTGGACTTGCCAAGCTTTTTGCAGAGCAAGGATTATGACAGCTTAGTGTGGATTCATTTGAACATGCAGCAGATCCGGTATGGCTTGAACTTCTTGGCTGAACGTTTCTAGGGGAAATATAGTTCAGAGAAACTTCATGTTGACTTGGAATCACTCTAAGTGTGGTGTATGAAAAGAACCACCTTAGGGAGAGCAGACCATTTGAGTGTTTCTCCTTGCAGAATGATTAAGTGAGGTTCTATCCAAATCAAGAATTCAATTCCTTCAGCTAAGAATGGGAGTCACTAGCAGAATAGGCCTCAACCACTAAGGAACATCGAAAGTGAAAGAAGACACCTGGAAGACGACTTGCCTCCACACCCCGGAAAGCGTGTGTAAGGATTGGTTAGTAGCGTCTAAACTTCTCACTAGTGCTGGGTTTTTTTCAATCATGGAAATGGATGGCCCTGATCCTAGGGAAGATGATGAAGTCCTCGTCTAAAGCAGGATGTTTTCCAAGTGACTGGAAGGTCGTTTCTTCCTTTCACCACTTGGCCGAGAGACATGGACGTGTTGGACAGTCTTCCCGCCAGGTCCAGGTACGACAGTGGATTCCAGGAGATCCCACTGACCGGGTGGCTTGGCACAACGGGCTCCTTGCCACCGGTCCTACATGTTGACTGTCCTGGCGGTGCGCAATGGTGCGCACATGTTGGCTTCTATAGATTCTAATGCTTGTTTTTCATGCTTGCTGAGGCCTCCTCAGCAGAGGATTGGCGAGATGCGAAGGAGATCGAGCGAGTGAAAATGCCTGGCAGGGGCTTTCATGAGGTGCGAGGAAGGTTTGTCGGGAGCGTCAGGGAGTTATCCTTCTGGTAGAGTTGGACTCATGGGGGGAAGATCACATGAAACCTCCGACACTGGTTGCTCAAGGAGCTTGCGTCTCTTTGCTTTATTTCTCACCAATTTTTGGTGTCAGCCTGCAGTTGGATGATGCACATTGGGGTCAACGGATGTCAACAGCTGCACTTGGATCACGGAGGTTGCCGCACTCACTTCGTGTCTCAGAAGTTTGGCCTGCTGGCACTGCCAGGGGCGGCTCTATGCTTTCGAGCAGATCAGGATCCAGTATCGGTACCTCTCTGAGAGGTTCTGGGTATTGCGGACATTGGGTGCCAAGGACAGGGCGGT